GACTGGCACAGCACCAGGATCACCATGGGTGTGACAGAGTGGGTGTTCACAGTCCTGGTGTCCGCCCAGAGCCCCTTCGCCCACTGCTGCCCCAGCACACATGAGGCAGTGCAGGGAGGGACCCTACGCCACACCACCACATCTCAACCAGCTCTCTGTCCCTGCTTCTCCCATCTCCTCACAGGCTTCTCTAAAAGGAACTTTCTCCATAAATCACGTGTCTGTGAGTGTCTTGTGTGTGCTTTTTTGCTCATAGAGTCTCACTTGAGTAAATCACTTAATTGAATGCTTGATTCCTTTTCTGTTTTCACAACACAAAGCCACACGATGTAGCCTACTCGTTGATTAAACACGGAGTCTCCACACAGGCTCAACTAATTCGGAAGGAGGTAGAAGTCCTGATGGAGCCCAGTGACGTGGCAGAGAAAGGGAACAAGAGAAGAAAACTCAGACTCAGCGCTGGCCCTCCAGCCAGCACGAGCAGCTGCCACTGGGTCTGTGCCCGCACCTTTGTGGCTGCTACCCACTCGATGAGTCCACTAAGTCTGTTCTCTAGCACACCTCACAGTTTAAATATTTTCCATTATGAAGATCAGCAAAGCTATTACTGTCATTTTACTCCAGGTGCTAAATCAAATTCAATTATGCTTTTCAGTCTGTCATTTTAAACTATCAAGTGGCAGAGAAGTAATGAGAAAACTGGCATTGATCACAATATGAATGTCAAGCTTAAGTCCAGAAGGAAGGACAAACTGAGTGGACAGCATAAACAGATGCAAATGGAGGATTTGGTAGAACACTGAAGCCTGCAGAGGACACCTGGTACCATAACAAAGAAAAGAAGACAGAACAAATCTATCAACTGCCCCAGCCAAGAGTTGGCAGTGAATACCTGGGCAAATGGAGACTCTAAAGTGGACTATGTCAGCCGGTGGATTCTGAAGAGATTTCATCATGATGTGAGTGGCAAAATCGGCAGCAACACAGAACTGTTGAACTATCAAAACCATTTGAGCAGGACCCTCGGGGCATGCCCCACACTGGGGACCCTGAAATGGTTGGGGGCTTCTTCCCTTTTCTCTCCCCTCCCCCCAGATACAGGAAGGAAAAAAGAGAATGTCAAAACAATGGCCACACCCACTTTCTTTTAGCCCTTAACCCTTTGCACCCTAATCAAATATGTAAAAAGTATCAAATAAAACTTATGCAATAAAAAAGAATATCACTGAAGAAATAAGAATATGTGAAAAATAAGAAGGCAAAACTGCCTTTCAAATACTAAAGAGAATGCAGCATTGATACAGAAAACAGGCACAACGAAGATGCAGGGCTAAACTAGGCTTCTAAAAACCACTTTTTTTCCTCAAAATCCTTCCTTGATGAAGTCTCAACTGAGTGAAATATTTAAACAAATGTTAAACATTCGTTTCTTACTACGAACCAGCACAAAGCTATGTTTTATTCATTCAAAGGTGCTACTACACGAATGTGTGCTAAGCTTGTCTAGTTGCCACAAAAAGAAAAAAAAAAACTATTGAAGCCACACAGAGTTGATATGGGAATGTGTGTACACACCCCAGATAAAGGTGAAGTACAGTGCGTAAGTGTGAGCCTGGAGCACCATCGCCCGTGGACACACACCCTGGACCAGCCCGGAACCAACTATTCTGCTGTGCTTCTGAATCCGTGCTAACCGTCAGGATCATCGGCTTGAGACATGACATGACCCAGCTTCTTCCCATATCACACAGTCAGAAGCTAGAGCGGAAGCTACTACAACAGAGTGCAGCAAGGGCTGTTCAGGAATAGTGAACAGAAAGTGCCTTTCCCCACTGGCATTGAGGGGTAGCAGCAAGTGGCACCACGAGGCCCTCAGAATTGTGATCCCTTGCATGGAGCACGTGCGCGGAGCCAGAATACGCCACAGCTTGCCTGGAGAGCTGACCCACGGCTGTCTGGGCTCACAAACGAGAGGCCAAAGACATTTCTCTGACCAACCGATCAGCCTTATGTTTGGATTGCATGGTCCCAATTCGCCTTTTAATACCAAGGCAAAGTTTTGAATTCTCCCATTTGGAAATCAGCGAGAGACGGCCTTGGATGGTTAATACAGTCACTCGCTTCCCAGGGCGGTCACCCTTGCCAGTGATATTCACTTCATGATGAGAATTCTAGAGGAAGATGAAGGTCAAAGCCACCTCAGACTCCCCTCAGTTGGAAAAACATTACGCTTTAAATGTTATCAACACACACATATGCAGACATATAAATATTTATGTGGAAACTGACAGCCCTGGTGGCAAAGAGAAGGAGGTGCTAGGGGAGGCTCGCACACCTGCACTGCAGGCAGGGGAGCTCTCTTCGGTTTTGCTGTCCCTGTGCATAAGCCCATGGGGAAGGCTGTGCCTTACCCAGAGAGGCAGAGAAGAGCTCCATACACTGCATCAACAGAAAGGAGGGGAGCGCGGGCCCCGGAGGCTGGGATGGCTTCTCCACCAGAGAGCAGTGAGGCCTGGGGCCTGGGAATGCGGGCTCTCATTTCAGCCCCAAGCTGGAGGTGTAGCTGTGTGTCTCAGAGCATTTCCAGTTGCTAAACCACTACACCCAGGACGGAGCAATCACCGAGAAGAGGTCTGCCTGAGCTCCCGGGCTGCAGGCTGGGATCCCAGCTGCCGGGCTTCTGGTGAGAGGCTGCTGCAGCTTCAGCTCTGGCTGGGAAGCGGGAAGTGGAAGGGAATGCAGTTTGCAGGATGCAAGGGGTAACCAACAGTCTCCTGCTCTCACAATTGAACCAGTCCAGGGAGAGCTAGCCAGCCCCACAGGAAAGGCACCGGTTCTCTTCATTAGCTACTCATCCCTTCTCACCCCACGGCACTGTAAGAGGACTGTGCCATCAGGTCAGCTGGCAGGGGCATTGAGTAGCTGATTTGGGAGATACTATGAAGACCAGCCCGCCCTGGAGAGGGGCAAGGAGCACGGGCTGGGCTGTGGAAGCAACAGTGACCCCTGGCCACCTAAGAGGCAGAGGAGCGCATGGTGGAAACCCAGCCAGCAAGGGTTTAGGGTCTTTGGTCAAAGTTTTATCACGAGTCTTCCTCTTAAGTCTGCCCTAACAATTGGACTCTACTGCACAGTTAAAAACGTACAAACAAAAAACAAACTTAAGTAAAATAATAATGGTATTAATATTACAAAAAAATAATAGGAAGCATCATTCTGAAGGAAAGCCTTGGAGACATGAGATGGAATTGGGTCCCAATAAACACAAGCGCCACATGGGAAAGGATCAAACAGCTGACGTGAGCCTGCAAGCTCTAGTGGAAGCTCCCAGCGACTGCAGCTCCGTCAGGAAGCCACGCGCCTTGCTGTCTTAGCCTACTGCAGCAGCCTGGGAACTCTGGTCCCCCGCCTGGGCTGGGATGCTCACATTCCTGCAGCCCCAGGGGAGCCTTGGGAGCCCAAGGCTGGATGGAAAATCTGCTGGTGTCATCACTTCAAGGCCCCAAAGACAACTGGGACCAGAGCCCCATAACGCCAGCAAGCAAAAGAAAGCACTTGGGGACACGGCGCACTGCGACATTAGAGGCCCTGTCCCATTTGATCTCTATCAAAAAAATGTGCATGTGTGACAGAGCGCAGCAAGAAACTACCAATCTTGCCAGAGTCCGAAGAAAGTCCAAGCGCAGCCTGCAAGCCACAGACAGCAGCTGTGCCATGGTCAGAGTCCCTCCTGAACTGTTAGCCTAATTATCTTTTCCATTTTATTAAGCAGATTGGCCATAAAGCCAAGTCAAAATCACAATCCATAATGCAAAATGTTCAAAAGATATCTCCTCAATTTCAAGAAAGAGATTTCTCAAAGTCCTTTTCAATAGCTTTCCCCAATGGACATGAAAATTTTGACAGAGGCGGCGTGGTCTCAATGCCTAGCCTATTCTAATGGCTAATAAAACAAACCAGTTCTGAAGCTTGTGTTTTAACACTGATTGGGGGAATCCCTCTGGTTACGGTCCTGTGAGCATCCTACACCCAATAGGGCAGGGAGGGGCGAGGAGGCATAGCAACAGGCCTTGTCCCCTTCCAGGATGATCTCAATGAGAGCGGTTAATCTATCCCTGCTTCCTGGTTCGGGGAAGCAGCTGGAAGCCTGCGTGGCATCCACTCAGAGTGCCTAAGATGTCTCAGGGAGGGTGTGCCCCCAGGACCCTGGCCTCAGGCATCACCCTTCTGTTGGTACCATCAAACCCACACTGACAAAGCTAACAGGACTAACTGCACTGGGAGCAAGTGTCTTTGGTGTGGCTCCATTTTTATGAGAGCTAAGCTCTCAACACCCTGTGGTCTTCTTAGAACATACAGCACAGAGTGCATCCTAGCAGGGCGTTCTTGAGTATAATTAATCCAGGGCCTAAAAACACAAGTTCTTGCCACAAGAGCTCAGCACGAGACATGGTTATCTACTGATCACAGCTTGGAAAGAGAAAGACTAGTCCCACAGAACAGATCACAGCAGACGAATCTCACCACTCTCAGATCCCATTAAGTTAGTAGGCTCCTTGAGATAAACAAATGAAGATAACTATTTTTCAAAGCCCTGAAGATTCTAAATTGGGCCAGGCCACATTCCTTACTTGAACGCTCTACATGTCGAAAGCATAAATGTCACAGAATTACTTCACAGGGAAGAATTTTCTGTTGGATTTACAGATGTGTATACACTTGTATGCTCAAACGTGTGTGTGTGTGTGTATGTGTGTGTGTGTTTACACACCACCTGGTGGAGTGTCCTTATTAATTTCATTAATATTCCAACTGAACTGACATTTTCTTACGACGTACACAGTGCAATATAATCTCTGGTCTCACCTATGCCCATAAATCTGCTCCACTTGAAAGAGAGGTGATCATTTCACTTTGAACAAGAAGCAGTGTTTCCAACGTTTTGAACATGTCTTTCATTTGGTGTTCATGTGAAACAGGCCAAGGGAGAGCTGTCTTACCATCCAGGCTGTGACGAAGTCCCCCATCCACGTCCCAACTGCAGCCAATTTCATGAAGCTCTCGTTCCGGATGCCCATGTAGTCTGTGATGAGATAAGCCCTGTGGAGACAGACAACAAGCCATCAGGACTCAGAGAGCCATGCAGTCTAGGGTCCTGTGAGCAGGCACCAGCCCACACACTCCCACACTGGCATGCTAGCAAGACCTCAGCCAGCACCTGGGTCGGTTACCCAGTGCATTCCACAGCAGGGCTGTAAGACAGGAGCTTCTGAAAAACCACACAAAAACGCAGCAGAGCCATCACACCGACCCCACCCAAGTGCCAGGGGAGCAGCCACATTCCGGGGGCAGGGAACCCAAGGGAGAAGTACAGAACAGAGTGCCCTTCAGCTCTGTCATCAGATCCCCATCGGAAGAAATTCCTGCACAAGGAGTTACTGTCAAGTACGATTCAGACCTATGAGCATCAGCTGTCAGTAACACGTGGTAATTTTATCACTTTTGGACTCGTTCTCCTGTACCTGAAATACCCCAATGATAGTCTCCAGAGCTCAGAGATTCAAGGTTATAATCAATTGCTAAATGTCTGCAGCACTCCATGCTTATCACTTGTTAAGCATTCTCACTTCCACATCCTCACCTCCTCATCGTTTTTGCTCGGAGCCATCAGCTAACTTGTCTAACGCCCCCAGGAACCGGAAGTTGGTGGGTAGGACACACATTCAGAGCCATCACCTAACTGTCTAACACCCCCAGGAACAGGAAGTTGGTGGGTAGGACACACATTCGGAGCCATCACCTAACTGTCTAACACCCCCAGGAACCGGAAGGTGGTAGGTAGGACACACACTTTTCTCTCTTGCTGTTGCTGCTGCTTTCAACTATGAGATTTGTTTTTTGGTAATTCACCATTTTAAAAAAAAATTTATTCCTTTCTTACGTCATATAATGCAGATATGGTTCAGGGTATTGGTTCAGCTTAATTCTTAGATTAATTTTTACATGACAGAGAAAAGCTAATGACATTTTGTTAAGCATCTACTGAAATCAAGAAGCAAATGCTTAAAGTTTGATAAATGGTAAATTAATTCTAATTCAGTATTTTCCTTTTTTTCTTAAGTTACTTCAGATGAATTTTTATCTACAGAATAAATATACATTTAAATACTTTTATTTAACAACAGAAAAAAATTGACTAATTCTTTAAAAATCCTTTGCCACAAACTTTATCCACCTACTTTGGAGGATACACATAAACAACTTAAGGTCTCATCCTTAAGGATCCCGGATCTCAAACTGGGTGACAGCCAACATGCACACGAGCCTTACCCACTAGCAGGTGCATGCTGGCAACACATCAGGGGCAGTGGCAAGCTCATTCTCCTGTCAGCACAATGAAGTGTGCTAGCTCACAGAGTGGAGTCCACAGGAGCTCTGCTGCTTGTTCAAGCTCAAGCAGCCGGCAAATGGACAGGATCTGAACAGGAACCCGACCAACTCTGAAATCCAGGCTCTCACCATACTTTACACATGTAGTAGTGAAGGTATTATAGACATGTTTACACAAAAGCACACGTGGGCATGCACACAGACTAGTTATTCCATACCCCAGTGTTCTCATACATTAAACAAGCAGGATTTATTCTGCTCGAGAACCAGCCACCACACAGTCAGCAACAGCCTGCAGAAGCCTCAATTCCTCCCAGCTACCGCCTGGCCCCCGTGCTGACCTGGGCAGCTCCCAGCTACCGCCTGGCCCCCGTGCTGACCTGGGCAGCTCCCAGCTCATGAGCAGGGAGCACCTGAACTCTCAAGAATTGTCGTACGTATAGTCCTTTCAATCATACCTATCTTATAGAACACACCCAATGCTGCTTCCCTTCCTGTCCACCTTTCTGGCAAGTTCTAGAATACACTGGAACAGCCTGGCAATGTCACGATACATTCTCTGAGACTGTAAAGATACAAGACCAGTATCACAGATAAAAGCTGAGATGCTCTAGACGCACTTAAAACAGATCAATGGTGCAGCCAAGAACAATGAAAGAGACACTAAATAACATGCAAAAATTATTTCCCCGAAAAGCTTCTTAGGGACATCAAAGATTAAGTGACAAGACTAGAAAAAAGAAGATACCAATGTGGAGAGAGCTATGGAAAAGTAAAAGCCAGGCCAAGGCCGGCTAGAAACCCTCCAGGGACATTTGCAGAGTCTGCAAGAAGCAAGAGGAGCCAACTGTGGGGTTATCTGGGAAAGATTCAAATCACGAGGGCTGGAGACAACAGGGTCCATTTGCCAGTGGAAAGTAGGAGTGCAGAAGATGGTCTGACCCACCGCTGATGGCCCAGTCTGTACTTGCTCAGAGGGACTGCTAAGGACATCCTACAAGGCATCACGGAGCTGTGGCATGTCACCGTGCTGGACAGACTGCCGCAGAGCGTAACCCTGGAGGAAGCGGGGCTGTGGAGGGCCTGGGCTCTTTGGGGACAGCGTGGAGACTGGAGACACTGCCATAGGTTATGTCCTGCTGTCCTTGAGGGCAGTGCCGAGAACCCAGACAAGAGCCAGAGTTTGGCTTCTACTCTAACCACCTGAAACAAGAAGGGGGAATGTTCCGGAAAAAAACCATCTAGATCCTCCGTGCATCAGAAACCGGACAACTACTTTGAAAGAAACAGAAGCAGCCATCATAAACCAAGAGGAAAAAGTCACCATTTCAAATGAGACAACAGCTCCAGAGGACAGAGAGCTGTTGTGGTCGCTCCTGAGTTCCTGGGGCCTGCAGCACTGCCCATGAAGTGACCCTAATTATTCATATTATTTGCATATCTACATGTTAGTGTGTTAAACCTTAGAAAGCAGCAATAAAATGAAACAGATTTGGGAAGTTTCCCCCACAGAGACAGACCCTAAACACAGTGCTTAATTGCTTTGCATGCTTATTTTATGTTCCCAACTATATGTGAAGATCCTTACGTGCTGCACAGCCATCAAGAATCCACCCAGAAGGTTCTATCAGCATGGAAGAAAGGAATTCTTCCCAGTGACTGCAGTACTGGAAGCTTTAACATGAAGAGGAAGCAGCACACGACATTCGTGAAGAGGCTCACACATTTAAACAGGAATAGTGACAAATAAAAAGACTAGACACTGTTCTTATTACTGTTGCTTTTACAAAACAAGAGGAGGCATTACAAATATGCAGACTTGTCATGAAAATGTTCAACTGCTATGCCACTGATTTGCATATCTATTCACATAGAACAGCATTCTCTGCCAAACTTAGGTGTGCTGATCCTTGGGTCAGCAGTGCCAGCCGATGTGAAGATCTCGGCATAATCTAAACGCATGAAACAGCAGAGTTCTAACCTATGAGGTTTTCCCATGGCTTTGGGAAAGATTCTGAATTAAATCATCTTTGCCAGAAGTTAAAGCCATCCAAGTTACAGTGTTGTGGTTTAGCTGGTTATTTCCATTACACAAGGATCTAGAAAATCTTGTAGTTTGATCAGCCTTCCAGGTCAGCATTGATCATTGACGTAGTCTTTCAAAATCTAAAAGGAGTTTCTTCTTGGGCTCTAACTTCAGTTCTTATTTTTTCATGAGATTTCAGACTTGCCCGTCAAGTCCACAACAAATGTGTGGCATGCACAGTGTACATGCTCTGGGGGAAGTGACTAACCAACCATCCTCACGGGTCACCAAGGTCAGCTACCAAGACTGCGGCCAGTGAGGCCTGAGTGCTCCGTGCCTTACCAGGCCCCGTCCGCAGCTAGAGCTCCACAAAGCTGCCACACAGGCAGTGGCCCTCAGATGGTCACTACTGACCACTAGCAATAAAAACTGTAGCTCAGCCAGTCTATTATTCACAAATAACTGAGTGCAGAGGAGGCCTGGTGGCTTAGGGGCCCAGACTCTCAAAGTTTAACAAGAGGCAGTGAACACAGATCAGCAAGCCAATATGGCTTCATGCTTCACTGAAGACCGTCTGTGGCTAGGGGGCTCCACCTGTCACAGCTGTCTCACTAAACCACATTTGGGTGATTTAAAAAACACTGGAGATTTCACATACAACAAACTCATGATAAGGAAAAAACTCACATGAATATAGAACTGCATTCAACAGCACAAACCAAAGCAAATGTAAGTATTCTGAAGGCACTGACGGTGACAACTATTGCTGTAAAATGCCAGAAATCAAACCAAAACGTACTCTTGCTTTCAATATTTCTGAGTATGTGTTTACACACGTGCACGTGTGGATAGTACAATGATATCAGCCCTTAGTCAACTATAATCTAAATAGCAACATTTTAGTATTCTTGTTCAAGATTCATAGTTCTTGACTACTGAAAAACACTGGGGGAGCTCAATATAAATGCTTGGACTTGAAGATCAGCCCTAGGGCCGACAGATCCACTAGCACACGATGACAATTGTCCACAGCACTCCTCACCAAGTCCGCTGCATCCAGATCTAGTCATGCCCACTGAGAAAATGCTCAAGTTTTTCCATATGAACCCCACATTCCCAATTTCTACACACACACACAAAAGTCTTATGTGAGAAGCCTGTAGATGGATTTTTCATGAACCAACCATCGCATATCAAACTTTTGTCTTCCTTGCCTCCCTTCAACACATTCAGTGAAATTCATTTGTGCTAGATACAGCAACTTCTTTTTTAAAAAGTTATTTATTTTTATCAGAAAGTCAGATTTTACAGAGAGAAGGAGATACACACACAGAGAAAGATATTTCATCCATTGGTTCACTCCCCAAGTAGCCTCAACGGTCAGAGCTGAGCCAATCTGAAGCCAGGAGTCAGGAGCTTCTCCCAGGTCTCTCACACAAGTGCAGGGTCCCAAAGCTTTGGGCCGTCCTCAACCGCTTTCCCAGGCCACAGGCAGAGAGCTGGATGGGAAGTAGAGCAACCAGGGCAGGCCGGGCGCTCATATGGGATCCCGTTGGATGCGAGACAAGGACTTTAGCCACGAGGCTTACTGTGCCAGGCGCAGAACCCCAGTCGTTATCAGTTCACTTTCTCCTCTGTTTTCCACACTAGACCAATCACTAGAGTTGTTTCTGAAAGGCACTGA